TTGCTGACCTTAACCGACTGGTCGTGACCAACACCCGTTTCCAGCACCCCGGAAAACACCTGCTCACGTGGTACTCAAATGATGGTAGAACGACACACCAGATTGATTATATTTTGGTACGTGCTCGGTGGGCCTCTTCGGTAGAAGACTACCGTTCCTATCGCGGTGCAGAAACTGGAAACAGGAACGGTACAGACCATACCCTTGTACGCGCCCGCTTCAGGATCCACCTGGATACTCGCCGGAAGACTCGTCTCCCAGGCAAATTCAACGTCGCGCTCTTGGAACCACCTGAGAGAAGGCAGGCGATGCTAGACGCAACCGCTTCCAACATANTAGGTGAGATTCTTCGCCAAAAGAGAAACTGGATCTCCGAGCGTACACTGCAGTTGTCCGCAAAGGCAAGAGATGCGCGGCTGATCAATTCTCCTGAATTTCGTATTCTCCGTCGCCAAGCCACACGTCCCGCCAAGGGTGACCGTAAACAATACTGGAAGGCGATCGGAGACAGCATGGAGACCGCAAGCGTCGCAGCGGACTTTGGAAAGCTATTCGGTCTAATTCGTGTCGCAGCAGGAAAGAGGCAGACATCAGAGCCACTGTTGCGCAGCACCACAGGCCAACTTATTCATGGAACCGAGCAAAAAATGCAAAGGGTTGAACACTTCGACGGGCTGCTCAACCGACCATCAAACCAATCTGGCTATCTACAGATGTCAAGCAGTTCGGAGACTTACGACGCCAATTGCGACCCACCTAGCACGACAGAAATCATTAACGCAGTCACTTCTCTGAAAAACAGGAAGGCCCCTGGAGAAGACGGGATAGCACCAGAGTCACTCAAAGCTTGCTTACCAACTCTGATCGATCCGTTGCACTCTCTTTTCCATATCATTTGGGAAAGGGAAGTTTTTCCAAAAGGCTTTGATTTTAGTCCCGGTCCCAACAAGGGCGACAGATATAGATGCGAAAATTACACGAGTATTAGCCTCATTGATATTGCAGCCAAGTTATTTGCAGTGATACCGCCTAATCGCTTCGCAGTCGTCAGGGATACCCACACTCGCCCGAACCAAGGAGTTTTCGCCGAGGAAGAGGCTGTGTTGAACAAATCTTTACTCTCCGTAGAATTCTGGAACACCGCTACAAGTTTCAACAGCCTACCACTGCATGTTTCATTGACTTCCGCGCTGCGTTTGACTCTGTGGATAGAGAATCCTTATGGTGTATATTGCGGTCCGACGGGATGGCTGAGAAGTTCATCAGGCTTTTAAAGTCATACTACTCAGGAACCCGGGCACGCATCCGTACCTATGGAGAAGAATCGGCTGAGTTCACCTTAAGCTCTGGAGTTAGACAAGGTTGACCCCTATCGCCGGTGTTATTCAATTACATCGTAGATTGGATAATGCGACGGGTACTCATCGACTACCCTGGAGTGCAGCTTGGCCCAGGTACATGGATTGCGGACCTCGAGTTTGCGGACGATGTCGTCGTACTTGGAGACAGCATGGACAACCTCCAGCCTGTTGTCAGTCGTATAAATCTGTTTGACCAGTCTATTGGGCTGGAGATCAACACGTCGAAAAGAGACATTTTCGACCGAAACTTCTACCACGACAAAACCCCACTCGATTAACGAGGAGCTTGTCGAATCAACCGATTTTTTCAAGTATCTTGGCTAAGGATGAAATCCAACTCCGTGTAGATAGAGCTAGAAGAGCCTTCCTACAACTCCTCAAACCGTTGTGGAATCGATGCGAAATAAGCTTAAACACCAAGCTCCGGGTTTACCAGGCTTCTATTCGACCGATTATTGTGAAACCTGGCCACCAAGAGTACAAGATATAAGGAAGCTCGGAGTCTTTGATCATTGTTGCTTACGCCGCATCCCGAAAGTAAATTGGAGAGATCGGATTTTCATTGATGAGGTTCGACGGCGCTGCTTAAACATTGACAAGCTTTCAAAAATGCTACAACGCCGGCGCCTTCAGTGGTTTGGCCATGTGCTCCGAAGACCTGACACTGAACTCTTGCGACAGGCTGTAGCCCCCGCACCATGCCGTGGATGGCATTGCAGACTCGGTGGTCAATTGAAGACCTGGAGTATTACGATCAAGGCGGATTCGGAATTACTGGGTCTTCAATCCGTATATGGAATTCGCAACTGGAACCAGAACTGGGTTTCACACTGCGTCAACCTTACTACCGATCGTCATGCATGGACCGCCATCATTATAGACATCTAGGAAGCCGACTTATCCTCCCGCAGGAGTTAGTCAGTTAGTTAGTAAGCATACACTTGACCCTTCACAAACAGCCGGATGTCGCGACGACGCCTACAGATGTCTCAAGTTGGAAAATGCCAACCGAGCCTTTTGTATACGCGCCGACACTTCATCTGTGGTGCGTCCGCCAGGTGAGATATAACTGCCTAGATAGCAAAATTTATCTACTTCCTCTGATACTGCGTATGATTCGATGAACTAGATATCTGTCCCTATCATCATCGTACAACGAAATACAAGGAAGCGAAATTCACTGATCACTGTGAAACTCGCAATGCATATGCTTTGGGGTTTGATGGACGGGTACTGCTAGGGTGTCCAGCCACTAAGCAAGCAGGATTGGGCTCTCAACCAGTCGTTAGCTCTGTCAAGAACCTAGCCGCAAGGCAGCGGGTGAAGCGAAAGTGGAGGCCCATTTACTTGGATCAATTACTCCACAATTGTTTACCGACTGAAACGCCAATTCTAGTCGAACCCCCAACCTGGAGGATCAAGAGACTGGACTTCGTCCGACCAGAACAGAATTGTGATCAAGAACTATCAAAATCCAAAGCTTACTCAATAAAGTGAGTACTAAGCTAACCATGACTTAATCGAGGGGGAATAAGGTTAATGGAATCAACGCCGGAACGTGTAATCGCACACAAGAAAAAACCAGTACGACAAAGTCGGGGATAAAATAATGCTGCATGATGACCGGAAGATATATCAATAATGACATATCACTGATTAATGTGATAAAAAGCTAGTCGGAACGCATGTAATGAAACATGGCGGTTTTCACACACCGCCCCGCGGCATTGCGGGTCAGGCTTTGGCTAGCCTAAGGCTCCGGCTGTGGATTCCTCAGAAAATTCACCTGCCTTGACCTGGGCAACCTAGCAGTATTCCGCCTACATGCGCATCATGAAACGTTTTTCTTTTTAAATATACCCTCTTTCCAAGTCTTGGTTTGAAGTCTTCAAATGCTGATGTTTACGTAGTTGAGGTGGGTTGGATGGAGCGAGCGTGTCAGCAGCTCTGAGGTAAGTCGTCGCGTCTCTGATAATAATTCGATGAAGAATTCGTTATCCTATGAAATTAAGATTAGTCGGCTTCGCTGGTTAGGACAAGTAGTGCGCATGCCCAGCTATCGCCTACCGCAATGCGCCTTATTCGCAGTTTCAGGCTTCAGGCTAGAAGAAACCATGAGGAAGTTAAAGATGAGGTGCTGCATGAATGTGCAGTGATTAGGTAGAAAAGATGTTTCCCGTCTTCCAGGTTGGGGTTCCAAATGACACTGTAACTGGTGAGTTGGAGACCCTGGAGGATATGGCGGGTCGGAATGCTTGAAAAGTTATGCAAGCATCGTTGAGTTATGTACTCTATGGGTTGACTACAGTTTTTCGCTATCTATTCCCTTCCTCAAAATTAGGCCCATCCTTATCCTGCTAACACATGCTTACTTACCCTATACGCATTATGAGTTTGGCAGCGATCAGTGTGGAACGCTTCACTGTATTACGCTGAACAATGGATGAATAATGATGGTTGAGGTTCTCGTCCAAAGCCTTTAGTTCTAACAAGAACCTGACCACAAGGTGGAGGGGGCAGCAAAGTAGATGCCCAATAACTAGGATCGATTACCAATATACAAATTTACCGACTGAGACACAAACTCGAGTTGAGTCCCCAACCTGGAGGACCAGGAGAGTGATCTTTTTTGAGCCTTACTCTATGACCTTGCAGGAATGACAAGCTCTTCTGGCTTGATCAAACTATTGAGTGGCTCGTTGAATTATACGGGAAAAGTCATCACAACACGTGCTGGTGCATTCTCATTTGAAATCGTGGGAACCAGGTCATCTAAAAAAGGTGGGCACCATTTGAGAAACTAGAAATGCAGCCACAAGGCTATTGCTGACGAGATTAAGTGGAACTGTGGAAAACCTATGAGGACTCTCAACATAGAAAAATTGAGATGAAATACTATCGGCGGTGCATGAAACGTAGAAATACATAGCAGATAAACCAAACCTGAAGGCGGACGTGATTGAAATAGGTAGCAGAACCTGAGAGAGTATGCGGCAAGCAAGTAAAATTTCACTAAGAATAATAATACGTTTTAGAAAAAGCTATTTTATGACCAGTTCGCAAAAAAGAGGAATATACGATACAAACATGATTCAAAAACTGAAGATGGATTTCACTCACTTCTGTAGATTGGCTAAATGTGTAGATAAATCACGAGTGGACACGATCACAGCATGATATTCATCATTCAGAAGTTTAGTATTTCCGAATCCATTCGAAACTCGATTGTATACTTGTTCGAACTTATCGATTTCACTTTTTATTTTGGTAATCCGCTGTTCTGAAGCTAATAATTCCGGGATAATTGCACCTTCCTCGTTATAATCCATCTTTTGAGTTGGGCGCGTTTAAGCAGATGATTTAAACAAAGCTATGCGAACATCCAAGAATAAAAACTCATATTTTCATGAATTCCTAATATTTAGTTGCGAAATTTTGAACGTCTTACGTCTTCTATATTTAGGTGTGCATTTAGTATCCCGCGTCCGTGTGTCGTCGATGGATGGTGTCGTTCTGCTATGGAGATTGCTTGCACAGATGAAGTGAAAGTTTACAAAGATGAGGGCGAGGAAGAAGAACAGAAGAAATCGTCTGAAAACCTAACGGAAGACAAGGTTGGATTAGTTATAGAAGGTGAAGGTCAGGTATGTCGTGTGATCAACAAAGTATTTCCTCTGTTATCCTTGTGATATGTATGTTTGCGCATTACGTTTTAAGTGTATTCAGAAAACAACATTGTGGTCAATTTTCGAGCAGCTTGATGTCAGTTTTAAATCAGTGCACATTGAGTTTGTAGATGGCGTTGATAGCTAAATGTGTTTTGAAATAAGAAAACATTTCCATCGTTTTGACTTATTGACTTTGTCAAGAAAAGCTCTGATGTTTCCTGTTATGTTTGTGTCTGTTAGTTTCTCCTGCCATCTGTTATCTTTTCGCCTTCGATATTCGTTCATTTACTTTGGACTTCTAATTCTGTATTCATCCATTTGTGGTTATAGCAGATAGACCCTTCAGTCTTGTTTCTGATCTTTAGTCAGGTCAGGTTACACAGGACACTAAAGGCTTTCGCCAACCGAGTGCTCAGATTTTTGATCCATCAGGAAACAACTTTTTCCGGAGCTTCGATTTCTTGACTGGTACTTCTTGACCACAGCCGATTTCTTCGTCCGGAACAGCCTTATTTTTCGGGTCCGTATCTACAAAGAGAAGATATTCGAAAATCGGCAGCATGGAACACTTACTGTCAAAAGCAGGCACCCTACAAGATTTCTGTCTAGAGGCTGATCCAAACCCCATCTAGTTACCTTTCGAACTCATCGACTGTCCTACTGTCCAGCAGTGAAGATGGTAGTTGGTTCCACTCATCTAACACTACTCGTGAGGAAATTATACCTAAGGTTGAGTCGGCTCCTAAGCTTCATTAGCTTAAAATGCTACCCACTTGTTGACTCGAGGGATGCTCGGGCAAACAGGCTGTCCGCCTCTAGCCCAGTCAGCCCATTCATTACTTTGATGGTCTCAATGATGTCGCCTCCCAGGCGTCTCCTCTCCATAGAGAAATGCCCTGGGGTTTCTGACTTCTTTTATGATTTACCCCTCATTCCCGCGATCATCCTAGTGGTTAACCGTTGCACCCTCTGAATGCAATTGATATCTTTCCTCAAGTAAGGCGCCCAAGCCTGCACGCAGTATTCTGACTGCGGTCTAACTATTGCCTTGTATGGAGGTATGAAAACCTCAGCCTTCCTTGACGATAGGGCCGTCTTAAGCTGGAACAATTACCCCCTCGCTTTTTGTGCGGCGGCCAGACATTGATCACTGAGCTTAAAGTCCTCGCAGACCATAATTTCCATATCTAGCATTCGGTCTACTCGAGCGAAGACCGTCGGTTCCGTGGGCGTGGCCACTTGAATCGGAAGTCCTGCGGTGTTCAGAACATGACAATTGATAACGTTTAGCTCTAAGTCCCATTTCTGTGTCCACATCATGCCAAAGAATACGGTTTGTGTTTTGTATGGCACTCGATCTAATATAAACTTACGGAGATCTATCATTATAGATCTGCAGATAATTATGGAAACAAACCAGTCAAGTTTATTTTACTATCGCCTCTCTCAATTACACCTCTTGAGCTTCCGTCTTTTAGATCAGTATTGTAACTCACCACTGCAATTGTCTGAGCTGTCTTCGTCTTTCCGTTAGCCGAACAGCAGGGCATGACCGGAAGCTTTAACGTGTAGGTCTTGTTAGGCACCTCAGTTGCCGGACCTCGGGATCAAGGTAATCAATGGTTAGTAGCGCTCCACCATCTACTCACTTCTTTCGGATTGTCACCCCATCTAATTTTTTTTATCTTTACATTAACGTTAGTCCAACATTCTAATTTTCCGTCCCCTCCTTCATTCAAATGGGTGGACCATAGGCAGCAATCAAAAGGAAAGTGCTTGACTGATGTTTTTATAGGCGGAAACCGGCCGTATGTTTTGTCCTACTTTTCAGTCCCAGTGTACCTTACTTAATCTTCAAAAACGCTGTGGTTTCCGTCGTTCTCGAATATTGCCATCTTTCGGACCGAAGCATTCGTTGTTGTCCTCCCTTTATACCTCTAACTTACGGAACTCCAGAGCAGTTTGCCGACCAGCTTGCAACGACGCAATTCTCCGTCGATCTAGTCTCCGGTGTTTCTTTTTAGTCGGCTTTATTCTACTGCTTGACAGAGTCCCACATGACGGTTTCGCTTGACATCTCATAAGTATTCAACTGTATTAAGCATCGAGGAGTCCTAGCGAAGCCACCCACATTTGTGTTATCCCCTGCACTTGTGTTGTGGGCATCAATGTTTCTCAGTTGCCATACCATCTCCGGATTAGTGGGTTACCTCCCCAACCAGTCTCCTTGAGTAACAGTGTCCTACGAGGCTCTGCATTTTCATCCACCGCGTTTATCCTTTACATCGGTAGTCTACGCTCTTTAGTCACTCACCTAATAGATTCATTCGCTGATGATACCATATTGCTCCTCCCGCTCCACCACCAACATCACACGCGACATTTATTCTCTCCCCTCCCAGCCTTATTTTTGGCCCGGGACACATCTCTACTTCAGTTTCCACCATCATCTGTTCATTGACTAATAATTGTCGCTGTGTCGCTCTGAGCCTCACTGTACTACAACCCTAACTTCCGAAATCTCGTGCTTCCTTGTAGCTCCCTTTCAATAACTACTTACATTTCCCCGCTTTCTTCTGATACTGTGCTCAAGATCGGTTTCTTTTACCACCGGTGACGGTTTCTCACCCAGCCACTCCAACCAGAAAGACGGTCTTGAGTGTTGTGTTCTTTCGTCCTCTTCTCTCTACATAACCATACTCAACGTCTCGACATTCGCCCTATCAATGACTCGACGTCGATCTATTTCACAAACCACTGGGTCCAAACTGTGTGCCAAACAAATCTAGGTACAATGATCTTCATAGGTAGACAAAAGTTCCATGATTTGCTCGTGGGTGGAATACTGACAGGTAGCTCAGGCCATGGCAAATGAATCTTCTTTCACTTCTTCCGTTTACGTTCTCATTAATTGACCATATCAGTTGCCGAAAAGGAGCACCAATATTGACTCCAGTTTGGGCTTATTTTTGTGCATGCGTATTTTAGAAGACCACTTCTTTACTGTTGCTATATCATCATGTTTACACCGCTAAATAGACCTGATTTCTGTGTCGTGTTATCAGTATTGTTATTTCTATATTACACCCCTAGTCCGGATTATGCCAACCGGAATCTGTATAGCAAAGAACTAGGTCACTTTGCTCTAGAGCCAAATACTGTCAGGTTGCCTGGTTCAAAGCAAGTAAATTTTCCTAATAGGTTAGCAACGGGAGGCATCGGTTAACCAAAGCTCAAACCATGAAGCAACGGGGCGATGTGCACAGACCGCATTCCGACTGTAGTTCTTTTTTTATTACACACCTAAGTGTGATGAATAACAGGCCAGACGAACCACATAGTCACGAAGACATGCTTTTCAGTGATGGAAACCGGCAACCTTCTCCCCGCGATTTGGAGTGGCGAACCACACAGGGCCCCGATAAGTTAGGCGTGGTATTGAACCGGACGAAAACATAGCTTCCTATCACCAAAGTCGAGTGGCGGTGGCGGAGCTCGAACCTTGGACCATAGGGTTCAAAGCACACCGATAACCGCTACTAAACCACCGCGCCACCACCATCACATCTAGGGTGGCCAGTGCNGCGCCCAATCGGGCAAATTTGAACGTCTGTTCTTGTTTTGAGTGAAAATATCCCGCTCCCCTCGCGGAGTCTTATGCGGTTCGCCATCCCCCTTCCCGGGGTTAGCGGTTTCCGTGAATGAATAGCTGGTCCTCGTTACTGAGGTTCACCTCCGCTGTTCATCACACTAAGGCGCGTAATAAGAAGTGGGTCGACTTTCGGCTGCTCATCAACCGGAAATCGGTTTTACGCTCTCTCACTTCGATGTAAACAGCTCCACGAAGATTTATTTATTACACACTTTTTCAGTGTGATGAATAGCAGACGGGGTAAACCCCATAATCACGAGGACCTGCGGTTCAGTGATGGAAAGTGGTAACCTAAGCCCCGGGGCTTGAGTAGTACCCCTTAGCAGAAGCTTAAAAAGAAATACTCCATGGACGCTTACCTTTGGGAGTGAGAAAGGTCTGTTCCATCCGAGGACTATTATATTATATCATATTTCACACTTGTCTGAGGACAGACTGTACCAAGCTGATCATGGTACAATATTTTTTATAAAAAAA